AAAAGGTTGAAATGGCATTTTTAGTAGATTTGTCACGAGGATTTCTGGAAAGGAGCTCTGAAGATACAAGCATACCATTTTTTTTTTTTAATTGTAAAAACAATATATGCTCGTTATAGAAAACATGGAATTTCAGAAAAGTTTAAAGAAAAAGAAAACATATCAGCTGTAACTGAACAACTCTGAAAGCTGTAATGATTTCGGGTTTGTTCCTTTCTGTGTATTATAAAAAATATATAATCATGCCTATCCTTTTATAATATTATTAAACATAATCGAAACCATTCTTATGTGTAGTTTTACCTCCCTGCTTACTAATATAATGAGCATTTTCTATTAGAAGTTTTCAAAAGTTTCAATGACTGTGCAATATTCTAATTTATACTGTAATTTATATAATCAACCTCCTGTTTTTGGACATCTGAGCCGTAACCAACTTTTCATTGTTCTAAATAGCACTGTGATACAATCTTTGAATAAACACCCATGATTATTTCCTTAAATTGGATTCCTAGACATGGCATTACTGATCAGAGGTTATGTACAGATTTATGGAATTTGCTACACGATGTCTACTTGTGTTCTAGTCCTGTGTTGTCTAATATGGTAGCCACATGAAGCTAGTTATGCTTAAATTTAAGTGCAACTTAAAAACCAGCTCCTCCGTTGCACTGGCCACTAGTCTTAGTCCACAGCAGCCGTGTGGGGCTAGTGGCTACCGTATTGGACAATGCAGAGAACACCTCCATCATTCCAGGAAGGTGTAGAGAGCAGCACTGATTTAGAGAAACCACACCCTTTGTTCCTCTCTGCTCCTGCCTCAGCTTTAGGTATTATCATTTCGAGCCTTAAAAAAGGGAGTCTCCATTTAATTCATAATTATTGCTAGTTAGAGTTGACCATCTTGTCCATTTTGTTAGCAATTGGTTTACCTGTGGATTCTCGTTTTGCTAGTCTTGGTATTTTCCATATAGATCTAGACGTGCTTGGTAAGATACCCTACAGGAGCTGTGCATTCACGGTCTCACCTCCATGGCCATGCCCCAGACCAGAGGATGTGACGCCTCTACTGGAAAAATGTGGAAATACCCTTTCCAAATGATGGTGACAGTTGTCACACTCTGGTGTCCTTCCTCTTTTTCTTTCCTTGCCGTTCTGAGTGTCTCTGTTTGGTTTCCTAGCTATATGACTTTGTTTTCGTGGCTAGGGCTGTTTTCCTACCTCTCAGTATATGCCCATACTGTTCCCCCCCGGCCTCAGCCCTGTACCCCAGCCAGTGACCGCACTGTCCCCGGTGCCTAGTACCTAGTGAACACTGTTTATTGAAATGCTCACATTTGAGAACAGCAGAAAGGAAAATTAAAAAAAAAAAAAAGCTTATTTTATTTTATTTTATTTTATTATTTATTTATTTTAACCCTCACCTGAGGATATTTTTTCCATTGCTTTTCAGAGAGTAGAAGCAGGGGAGACAGAGAAAAACACTGATGTGAGAGAGACATATCAATTGGTTGCCTCCCGCTCGCCCACCAACCAGGGCCAGGAATAAAGCCTGCGATCGAGGTATGTGCCCTTGGCTGGAATCAAACCCAGGACCTTTCAGTCTGCAGGCCGACGCTCTAACCACTGAGCCAAACAAGCTAGGGCTAATTTTATTTTTAATGGAAATTTTGGTTTCAGTAGCAGAGTCTATTTAAGTTTATATTAAATATTTGCTCCCCAGCAGCAAACATGGTTCTGCAAAGCACTCTTGGTATACACGATTTACTTCACAATTCACCCTTCCTTGGTTGCCGACCGTGAAACAGGGAACCAACTGCTGTCAGAGATGACTATGAATAATGCCTGAGGCAGGCAAGTATCCATGCTGCAGTTCCTTTTCTTGCTCTGCTTAATCCTGAGCAATAAAAACAAATGCACAGACACATTTAGGGATGTAGGAGGTGCAAAGGGATGTTTTATTTACCCTCAGGAAAGGAAATATAGGACCCCGGGTTGGTGCTCCCCAATGTGCCTGGAGTGGGAGCCTTGCAGATACCTTCAGAGCCCATTGCCTAAATATGTTGCCCAAATTTAGTTGAGGGCAAACTACCTTCAGTAGGCAAAGTAGATTGAATGCTGGATAAAATCTCCCTTGCTTTATCCCCACAAAGAGGCCAATACTGGTTTTATGAGCTAAAGTTGACCCAGAAAACACGTTTGTGAGCATTTTCTTTCCCCTTCAGCAACTATAAAAATGGAAACGTCTAACTGTAATTAGGGTGGGAGTCGAGGCCAACGGGCATATTTGGCATCTGGCGCCACCTTGTGGTGAAAGCATCCAAATCCTGGGCCCTTTCAAGGACGCCGAGATTAAAAAATGACAACCCTCTTGAAGGGGAGTTGGACTTAATGACAATCATGGGAGAGGTCATTTTCTTGGAGAACACAAACTAATAGAAACAACTAGTACTTGCCTGACACTATGTAGTAAATAAAGTTCCCCCACGTGCTGAGGAAGTAGGATCTCAGCCTCAGGGCTCTGGAAACTGAGGCTCAGAGAAGTTGGAGAACTGAATTAGGCAAGTCCTAACTCATACTCCCAATTCCATCACTTATTAATATTGTTGTACTGTATCACACAGTATATATAAAAAAACAGCACTACATAGTGTAGGCTATATGCTGTGTGGTGTCATACATGCCCTGGACTATGCCGAGCACACACTACACGGCACCTATGGCATCCTGTATGGCACTGGAGTACTGCTGAGCAGTACTCCCTGCCTTTCTGGGGATGTTTTCTGTGAAGGCAAGGCAATATTGGTTGACTCTTTGTAGTCTGATTTGACAAATGCTATTAGAGAGTTTTGCTACTAAACTGTGTCCTTGCTTTCCTGGGTCCCTCAGCACCCAAACTGTGGGAGACCGTACTTGTCTGCTGTCTTAAATCTGGGGTGCAATAATGGAAGTGTGCCTAGGGAGAGTGCACACAAGGATGCTAAGGCAGGGGGCCTGAGGCCACGTTTTTACAATGCTCAACCTTTTGTTGTTGTTTTTGTTTCTTAATCCAATTCACTGGCTCACAGTTAAAACAGTGACACACTGTGTCACCTCATTCATTTAACTAGAAGCATATTTTACAACCATTATATTTTACAGTGGGGCCACGGATAGGAATTTGGGGCCGTAATTGCTTCTGTGAATTGAGATAACTCCAAGTTGTGTTTGGAGGAAACTGTTGGCCTCACTCACAGGTGTCCCCTCAGTCAACTACTGGTCAGGGTCCTTGTCAGCCTATGCAGCTTTGTTTGCTCCTGTCTCTCTGGCAATGGGCTGCCCTGGATCAGCGACCTCCAGTAGGTGCATTTCTCAGTGTGGCTATCCCTGCTTTACAAGTGATGGGGTCACAATTCCAAATGACTTGATAACAAGCCCATGCTTATCTGTCTACATCACACTGCTCTCTACTTTCTACTTCAAATGCCGTTTTTATCCAGCTCAGCCACTAAAATCTACGCAATAGTGGTCAGAACTAATGGGGGAAAGAAGTGAAAGCACTTCTGTGGAGGGGGCATTAGGCAGTTCTGGGGCTGAAGCTGGTGTGGGATTCGTTTGGTAGAGGGGACTCAGAGGGAGGACCCTGGACTGGAGAGGAGAGCGTTGGCCTGGTCCTGGCTCTCCCTTAAACTGCTCAGAGGCAAGGCTTGACTCTCACCTGTAAGGCCCACAAGCATCTATCCTATAGGTCCATCTTCTTTACTAGTTGATTTCAATGAATAAAACACTGCAAAGGACGGACTCTACTATGATCAGTTTTGCTTTCACCTAGTGTAGCCATCTTTCAGCCTTCACAAGAAGAGGAGAAAAATATATAAAGCAACAGGCCAGCAAGAGATGACAATTCCTCTTGCTTCCCTTGCTCCATAGGCCCCTCCTAGGAAGTCAAGGACAGGTGGTAGTGAGGACACCCAGAGTTGGAGACCCACTGTCTTTCTCTCTTCTCACCAGGATTTATTCCAGTTGTGCAAAATGCCATGACTATTATCCAGCCCCTCCCACAAGGACCCCTCCTCGTCAGGTATGGATGGGGTTGAAGGATCCTAGCTTTCAGCATGTGCAGTTCAGTCAATATGCTCAAGACAAATATTCTCTTACCAGCTTTCTGCAAAAAGTGAAACATAAGGGCTCACAGGATCACCTTTAGTAGCAGGCCAAAAGAACCTGGATTATATTTCATGAAGTAAAAGTCATTGTATGAGAATGTTTGGGAAACAGATCAGCAAACCAATTTCAGGATTTTCCTGTTCTACCAAATACTAGCTATGTGACTTTGGCCATGTCAGTCGTTTACCTCCTAACCACTGCTTCTTCATTTTCCAGCAGCGCGTTGGGACAGTCCATTCACGGTATTTCTGGAGAAACCGCATTGGGCAGATGAGGAGAGGGGGAAGGCACAGGTAGTGGCCTTCCCTTCTCTTCCTTGGGGCAGTGTGGCAAGGACTGGCCCAATTATAGAGGTCTCAAATTATGTAGGGAGCCCTGGCCAAGGTTGTGGGTTTGACCCCTGGTCAGGGCACATACAAGAATCAACCAATGAATGCATAAATAAGTGGAGCAACAAATTGATGCTTCTCTCTCTTTCCCTTTCTCTCTAAAATCAATAAATTAAAAAAAGAATTAGTCCGGGAGCCACAGTGGGTTCTTGAGACAGAGCAAAAGTGGCATTTGTGGGACACTGGTCTTGAAGAGGAACACAGATGAACTGAAGCGGAGAAAAAGGGGCAAATATGAGACACTGGAAAAAGAAGAAAGAACACTCCTTCAGGCTAAACACACAGGCTTTGTTATTTTAGTCTATTTGGCCTCATTTTCTACAGGCTTGTCTGACACACTGCACATCAGAAGCACAGACTCACATGAGTAACAAAGAATCTCTCTTAAGTGCTACCAGGTCCTTAAGCTTCCCTTCGGGGACTTTTACAGTTGAACAACATGGCTAAATTATACCAGAGAACTTCTTTTACTTTTCAGGACTTGCAATTTTATTTGCTTTTGCATTTCTATAATACGCACGCACACACGAATTTGCCACTTTTTAATACAAAAATTATATGTACTCATTAAAAAAGTTAAAATATAAAAATACACAAAATAAAAAGAGTGACTCTAAATATTCCTCAAGGGGAAGCATAAAAGTCAACCTTGTGAAAGAAAGGTCAGGACTTGTCACTTGGGCCCAGGGTCACAGGAGTTAGGTTCTTTGGAGACTTTTGGAATTTGCTCTGAAGGAAAACTCTTGGCACACACAGACCTTCTTTTTTGTTCACCGTCTCACGGAACACATACTCGTTCACCACTTCTTCATAACCCGTGTCCCTGAAGAGCCGAGCCAGGAATTCTGTAAAACAAGCAGATCAGCGATGCTCGGGACTGATATCATATTTGCTTTGTGGTGGGGTAGGGAGGAGGGCTGGAGGGCTGAGACATATTTGTTTTTAATGTAATGAAAACGTCAATGCTAACATAACACTTAAAGAGGGCTTTGTTTTGGAAAGTAACACATTCCTACTTCTCATCATCTTGCACCCAAATGGAACCCCAACTAAAATGTAATCAGAAGAGTGTAAGGACATGCCCATCTTGCCCTATTATGAGTCCCCAAATGCAAAAGTCTGAGTTAAAAGAAACAAAATGCCAAACTGGCTATATTCAAACAAAGCCTGCATGTGTTCAACTTGTTGATATCAAACACCTCACCTACTAACATGAAGGAGGAAAATCTGTGACCAGTGTGGGAAAAGAAGTCATCTGGTGGTGATATACCCCAAGGAAAATTTAACCCAAATAACACAACATGTCAAATGAAACAAACAGAATAAATGGTTATGTAGCAAAAATAAAGACTCTTGCTAAGAGCATGACTCCAAACACTGCTCTGAAACACTTTACAGATACTGCTGCATCTTCTCAATTACTTATAACTGGTTTAATCAAATTTCATGATTCAGAAACATTAGAACAATTTTTAATTTTCACCTGACATTTTTTTATGACTTTTCAGTTTGAATGGTAATCACTCATTTTTCATTCAGAACCCAAAATAATACTTTATTTCAAGAAATACAAATGTTTATAAAAAATAGAACTTAAGAAGGTAATTATCTTATGGTCCAGATTAAGTAGGTTTAAAACTCATGCTTAAAATACCAAAAAGACAAAAATGATGTTCAGTGTTTGGATGTTTTCAATAAAAAAACGACTTTTTAAGGACCCCTCTATAGTAAATTTGTGTGTTTCAATATAGATCCAATCACTTTTATAGAAAAAATGTTTCTTCGTGACCTGGGAAAGTAATCACAAGGCAATATACTGTCCCATTTCCTTTATTTTTGACTGAACAAAGTGAAGACGATCCTGAGTTGCCCTCCCCCTTTTCCAGCACAGTTCCTGGTAGGGTATCCACATGGCACAGCAGAGCCTATCCCTTAACCCAGGCTACCTTGAAACTGTCCCAGAGGCCTGTGAGCTCACCATGGCCAGGGGCTGTGTCTATGTTGTCCCAGGTGCTAGGTAAGGGTCTTGGGCTTGTGGGCTAAGTAGAGCCATCCCCACCCCCAACCAATAGTACAGTGATAAGGTAATCAAGTAACACAAATAAAGACAGAGTCCATTAATCTCACCATCAGTAAAAAAATATGATCTGGTTCCGTCTTGTCTAACATAAAAGTTTTCTCCAAGTTTGCTGCCGGCTTTGAACCTGAGCATGGCATGATCATATAGCCCATAGTCGCGAAACAGGACACTTTTGCCTGGTTTTAATACCTACAAAGCAAAATCAGGTTGTATATAACTCTGGGGAATCCAGCCAAATAAAGCTTACTATAAAGGATAATCTGATTAACTCAGAGATTAAATTAATTTACACTTATGATAATTAGGAAAGGGGTCAGACTGAAATATCCGTAATATGAAGGGAAAAGCACCTGCTAATCTAAGGTATATTCAGGCTTGGCAGCATGCCCATAAAGGGGCACTTGAGCACTTACAAGAGCACTCTGGAAGGTCCAGTGTCACACAAATAAAATGTTAAATATATTAAACAAAACAGTCTTATCCTCATTAAAGCATGTTCTTCCAACATTTTATTAGCCACCTCCTAGTACATGGCCCTGTAGTCAAACTGTCTCTTTAAAAAACTATGATGTCATTTTGGCTTTTTACTGATTCCACTGGTTTTCCTTGCTTGGAGTCCCAGCTCTGGCTTCACTGTGCTACAACTATGTACAGCATGCTTACCATGCTAATAACTGACACACGCCCAGCACTGTATAGCTACCAGACATTGTCTCGCAGGATCTTCATCCAGTTCTGAGAGGAAGGAAGGAATGAGTCTGGTTATTATCCTCACGTGAGATGAGGAAACTGACATCAGAAGAGGTAAGTGACTTGCCTACGATCACGCATCAGCTACTAAGTGGGGGAGTCAGGACCCACACTTGGGTCAAAAGGCATCATAATATAGAATCAGAAACATCTGTTAGCCCTGGGATGTGTGTGTGTGTGTGCGCGCGCGCGCGGTGATGGTGGTGGGAAGGTCATTCCAATTCCAATGACACTACTGACAAGAAAAGAGGGGCTGCGAGGGGAGGAGTAACAGTATTCTTCTCACACTGTGCTGCAGTCTTGATGTGAGGAGGAGTGGATCAGGCCCGGGCAGCAGTGTTGGGAAGGGGTTCAATGTCAGGCCCTCGCTAAAACCTTTCAGAGGGAAGCGTCACAAGGCAGATGTCTCAAAAACTGGAACATAAGATCAGCAGGGAGTGGGTATAACTGCCACCATCTTACAAAGCAAATAGCCACATGCCTTTCAGGATGAAAAGACAGTGATACACATTGGGACACTTTTTTTAAAAATCTTCACCTGAGGATATTTTTTCCATTGCTTTTTCAGAGAAAGTGGAAGTGAAGGAGAGGGAGAGGGAAGGAGAGAGAGGAAAAGAGAGAGACAGAGAGAGAGAGAGACATCAATATGAGAGACACACATCGAGCCTGCAACTGAGGTATGTGCCCTTGGCTGGAATCAAACTCAGGACCCTTAAGTCTGCAGGTTGATGCTCTAACAGCTAAGCCAAACCGGCCAGGCTGGGACACTTTTTATGTGAAAATTCTTTCAAATGGTACTAACATTACCAAATTAGAGTGGACTTCAAAGGGGGAACTAATCTTATTAACTCTTTTTCTGACCCATCACATCAACAAGATAACTTTTAAGACATGACACATACTACCTATTATAGATATTTGATGTACTTTAACGTATTTCTTTTCTGAATAAAATATAAAATACTGTCCATAATACTTTCAAGTGTGCTAGCAGATTCTCTCATTTAATAAATTCTGATCAATACTAGCATGCATTTTAAATATTGTCAGTAAACAGCCTCTTGGATAAAAAACATTCTTACCTTGATCAAAAATGCCAAGTTTTAAAATGTGAATAATTGGGGGGAAATTCTGAAAAATTTAGCTCATATGAGAAAGATGACTTCTTCAATTCAGAAGAAGGCAATGCTGCATGGGACAGTGGAAAGAGCGCTCACTGAGGAATTTGGAAATCTTGCTTCATATTGCAGTTCTTCCATTAACTAGTTGAATGACCTTGGGCAAGTAATTTCATCCCTCTGTATATGTTTTCTCGTCTGTAAAATAATAATTACGATACTAACACCTCCTTTGATCATGGCACTGTATAGCTAACTAGGCATTTCTCAGTGTTAGGTTCTTTCAGTCTCCTAATAACTCTGAGAAGTGGGTAGGTTAGGTCTATTCTACCCACTTTACAGTACCTAAGGCTCAGAGGTAAAATGATTTGTCTGAGGTTTCAAGGCAAGTTGGTGCCACAAGGGTATAACAAAATCCAAGCGTTCCAATGACAAATTTGGTCTATTTTTACTTCACCATTATATTCCAAAAATGAGGGAATTCAACTTTAAGGTTTTCTTTTAGTTTAAAATTATGTGGTTTTTAAATTTCTCTGGTATTAACATCCTGGAGTAATTAGATCTACATTGCAATAGCTTTTGTAACTCTTTTAATATTTTCTTAATTAGACAATTATATTATCAGAAAATAGTAAGTTTTGTTTCTTTCTCATCCTCAAATCTTTTCTCTTCTTGTCTTTTTGAGCTGACTGAGCCCTCCAGTATAATGATGAACAGAAGTACTGGCAGTGGGCACCCTCATCCCCATGAAGTTCCTGACATTCTTTACTCTGTTCTAACTGCTCCCTAACACCCTGAAACCTTCATCGTTGAAATCACTAGTATCCACAACACCTTCTGAGTGTTCCCTTCATTCCTGTGCTCATAGAAACTGACTGTCCCGAGGACAGTTTTCCTGCAACCTCTGGTCACGGCTGTTTCCTCCCCTTGCCCTTGTACACTGGGCTGGGAGGCCTCGCTGGTTTCCTGCCCCGCTCCTCACCGCTACTTTCTGTGCATTTTCCTTTCTCCTCCCTAAACGCCCCAGCTCTGAACCTTGTCTTTAGATTAAATCACCCACCACCCCTTACTGATACCGCCGGCTCTTAGTTCCACAGCCATGTCCCTTCATTTCCCGACAGTAGTCTCTTCTCAATACTATACCATTCTTAATTCTGGTCAATTTCAATATACATGTGAATTATCCTTCCAAATATGCGGGCTTCTTCATGATTCGAGCTTCTCTTCCAAATATCTTGTCCCCCACCCTACTTAAACCACTCACTCCCATGATAATGTCTTATGGCCTTGTCAACACTAAAAGTATAAGCCCTCCATACCCTCAAGGTCATCCAGGTCACTCTCATTAGCTCTCTCTAGTTCCCCATCTTTAATAATCCTTCATCCTCGCCTAGACCTTCAAACCAGGTGATCCTACCCTCTCTTTGCCGATGCCCTCTCTTTTCTCTTTACCCGGCTTAAGTTCCATGCCCATTTATTGGTATATGCTGGGTTCTCATCTGCTCAGATACCAGGGGCAGGAAAAGGAGAGGTTAAGGAGAAAAAAAACCTTACAAAACCTCAGAAGGCTAACACCAAGGTGGCAATATCTGAATATTTTTTAAAGCATTGTTTCAAGTCAGAATAATTATTCCCCAACAGGTTTCCAGTGTCTTAAAATTTCTACCTACTTTTTAAAAACAATTAAAATCAGGGTTAAATTTTAATGTATAGCTCTAGATACGTGGATGCTCTCTTACCTAACATCTGCCTTTTCAACTGCAGAGTGCTCTCCTCTCCCTCTGTAGAGCAGACCGACTGCAGGCCATGACTCACTGGGCAGGTGAGGCCTACAGGCTTTGGACTGGGCACACGTTACTTTAGTGTCCCCAGGTGAGCTGCAGCATTACCACTGGTCACTTGTGTTTGTTCCCACACTTGCTTGTGCCGGCTGTACTTAGATTTATAATTACATATGAGTACATAAACAATGCAATATAAATGTGAATAGAAAGCATTTTATTTTCTATGAAAAGTATGTTGAATACTTTGGGGAAATTTGATAAAGAAACATTGAACAAACTGCCATTTAGTTAGGTGTGGGAGATTTGACTGTGAAAGCCTGGGTAAGAATAGAAAATAATCTGCCCTATATTACTTTCCAACTGCTTTTAAGTTCTTCCTCCACTTTTAAAGAAACCAAACTCAATTTTAATTGTAGTTCATGTAAGAGAGATAATGGCCCAAACTCAAGAGAAAAGGCCTTGGCTCCACATCTAAGGAGTCATAAATGAATATTAATATATTTTAAGTTACAATAACATGATTAAGGTAAAAATTTACCATTTTTATGATTTATTAATTTTTAAATTAAGGTCATTACCAATTGTCTGTATAGATAAGAGGGCTTCTACTGTAGTTTACAAAGTATCCTCATACATGACCTCACCTGCATCTCACGTTAACTCTGTGAGCAAGACACACCCCTATTTTACAGACAAGGAGACTGAGGCCCAGGGAAGGGAAAGGAGGTGGCTTATCTTGAGTCACAGGAGTTACAAGTGAAGCTTTACTTCCTGAGTGCTATCGCGGCCTCCTGGTGGCCACGGCACTTTGGGTTCTCCCCATTTGAATAGCAATGATGGCAGTAATAACAAAACAACAGCTGGCTTTTAAAGAGTACTCACCATGTTCCAGACATTGTGCTAAGCACTTTATACATATCACATATTCTTACCCAAATCCCAAGATCTAGGAACTATTATCTCAACATTTCTACAGGTTACAAAACTGAGGCTCAGGGAGGTAAAGGAACTTGCCTAAATAGGGAAGCCATATTTTGACTCTAGGCACTCTGACTCCCGACTGTGTGCTCTTGACCACTGAACCACACTTCCTCTCACTTTACAGCCGTACTCCACAGATCCCAGGTAAAAATCATCCTTGCTCTGTCCCACTGGCGTGGCTCAGCAGTTGAGCATCAACCTATGATCCAGGAGATCATGGTTCACTTCCCAGACAGGGCACATGCCTGGGTTGTGGGCTCGATTCCAAGTGGAGACAGCTGATCAATGACTCATCATTGACGGTAATATCTCTCTCTCCCTTACTCTCTCTGAAATCAATAAAGATATATTAAAAAAAAAAAATCATCCTTGCTCCAAGGCTGGCCAAACTCCAAAGAGCAGTGATGGACACCAGACAAATCAAAGTTTAGGGTGGATGTTTTTTTATTCAGGAGAATCCCTTTCCATACATTGCCTACACAGCCTACCTAGTGAGAATGGGGGCTCTTGGACCTAGACAGTGCATGAGCCTCAAAGAGAAGGTAAGCAAGAAGACTGAGATGTCCAACCTCTCAAGTGCAGGCTCCAAATCACTAACCTTGTAAATGTTTTGTAAGACAAGGTGCATCTTATCAGGGTGAACAGCAGAGAGCACAAATATCAACATGACAACATCCACAGACTCTGGGGGCACGTGTTCCAGAAGGTCATCTTTAGTTAGATCACACTGGAATACCTTGCATCTTTCTGAGTCATATAAAGGATTTTGCTAAAGAGGGGAAAACACAAAAGAATGTTAATGCAACATCCATGTTACACATATAGAAAAATACATCCTCAAGAGAAGATCCTCTTTCTATTTATGAACTATTGCACAGAAATCACTGATCACTTTGTTATGGGTAAACTGAGTAATGAACCATCTGCACACGAAAGCATGCAATATTCAACATGGCTATGAGGGCAAGATTTCATTTTAACAAATCACTTTTAATTGAAAAGAGAACACAATATATTCAAAACTGAGCATTTTAGAAGCATATACTTCCAGAGGGACAATAATCCACAACCGGCCTCTGTTTCCTTAATTCGCTTTTGAATCATCCACTACAAGACTAAATCCTACAAGAAGTCCTTCCAGCTCCCCTTGGGATGCTCCCACGGTTCTTCTGGGTTTATTTTTCCTTGATACAGCAAGCTAAATAAACCTAAATTCTTTTTACTACAAGTGTGTTCCTGGTACATTTTGGTTGGTGGGTTTCAACACATGTATAAACGCATTATAAAGAAAAATATTAAACTTTTCTTTAATGTAAATAAGGACCTGAATAAACCAAGACACATAAAAAGTTACTGGATGGGAAAATTCAATATTGAAAAGATGCCAATGCTACCTATCATTCCACTTTAAAATCCAGTGCAATCTCAACTGAATCCTAGTAAATTTCTAGAAACTTGACAAGGTAAATCTAAGTAATCTAGAAGTGAAATCTTTAGGAATAGCCAAGTCAATTTTTAAAAATGAAGAACAATGAAGAAGAAGGTACACTACTGGACATCAAAACATAACAAAGTGTAATACTAATGTGGTTTGAGAATGCGAGCAAACAGATACTGAGAAAGAAAAGTCCCAAACAGACCCATGTATATGGAGAAATTTAGTACTGGCTATGAAAAAAAGATATGTGACAAAGATAACGATTAAATTTATAAAATGGTAGATAACAAAGGTAACAATGATCAGGAAGAAGTAAATTTTTCATTCAATTTATTGTGTTTTAACAACTAGCTATCCATTTGTATTAAAAGACAACTAGCTACAAAGATGAATTAAAGGACTTCCAGTTTCAGTTCAGGGATGTACAGAGGAGGAAAGATGTAGCTCCCATCCTTACAATAAGAAAAAAGCTGAACAGCCCAGCCCGGCTGGCATGGCCCAGCAGTTGTGCATCAACCTATGATCCAGGAGATTGGAGTACAATTCCCGGTCAGGGCACATGCCCGGGTTGCGGGCTTGATCCCCAGTGGGGAATGTGCAGGAGGCAGCCAATCAATGACTCTCATCATTGCTGTTTCTATCTCTCCCTCTTACATCCTCTCTCTGAAATCAATAAAGACATATTAAAAAAAAAAAAAAAAAGCGGAATAGCAGAGTAATGACTTTTTTGTGAACCCATCAAAGAACAGAGGTCAAAGAACAACCATCCTTCCTAAAATCTGGAGAGAGACAGGTAACTTTAGGGAAAAACGGGACCTAGGCATTTGCTTACCTGAGGCAGAAGCCTCCAGAATGGAAAGATAAAACTAGAAATATGAGAAATTGCAAGAGACTGAGTGTGGATGTTACAGTGGGAAGTTCCTGGGGGCTGAAGCCATGGGGATAGTTCCCACCCTTTTGCAGGGGTTTCCGCCAGAAACATCAGCAGACTTTCAGAGAGGACAGTGTTCTTTCTGGTGCTGAACTTTCTCAATGTGAGAAAGATATATTGATTGGTTGCCTCCTGCAGGGCCCAAACTATGGCGAGGGCCAGGGATCAAACCTGCAACCTAGGTATGTGCACTTGACGGGGAATTGAACCTGCAACCCTTCAGTGTGGGGGCCTAAGCTCTAACCACCAAGCCACACCAGCCAGGGCAAAGACATTATATTTTGCCTATAAGACTGGGAGATATAAAAAAGACTGATGTCAAAGCAAGCAGGGGGCACTTAGCAGATTGAAGATCTCTGTGCCTTCCACAGCTGGTGGTGGCTTCCCACCTCCCCCCACGCTCTTCCATTTCCCTGCTGCACAGCCTTGTAAAGAGTAAACTCCGAGTGACAACCTATCTTCCAAACAGAGCCCCAATGCTGTGCCTGACCTGGCAGGAAAGTTTCCCAACAGCCAACAATTCCCAGGAGACATGAACCCTCCATTTCTCCCCGGCACTCTGGGCAGCCGGGGCTGCAGACAACCCACAGGTCCTCTCCAAGCCCATGGTCTTAGTATGCTCCCTGAGTGAAGCACAGATGGGCGACTTGTCTCATCCTTCCCTCCCTTCCCGTCCTCTTCCCCACCGTCAAATGTTGAAGACATAGAGAAAAAGGTATCCTTATATTATTAGTGAACTTATGAACTGGTATTAAGGTTCTACAAGGAAATTTGGCATTACCTACTATTTCCTATTATAACTTAAACGTGTATACTCTTTATTCCATTATTCATCATAGACAAATGTGTACATGTGTTTTGGGAACATGTGTATAATGCTGATTACATTAACCCTACTTATAAGAGCAGAAAATTAGGAACAATTTAAACAAATAACAACAGAGTAATTGTTAAAGTACGGTATATCCATTCTATGGAATACTACAATAGGTAAATAAAATGTGGTAGACCCTGGGGGCTGGGTGAAAAAGGCGAAGGGATTAAGAAGTACAAACTGGCAGTTATAGAACAGTCATCGGGAGTACAGCATAGGGAGCATAGTCAATAATATTCGAATAACAATGTATATCAGATGGGCACTAGATTTATCGGGGTGATCACTTCGTAAACCTGAATCATAAACCTGAAACTAATATTGTACATTAACTGCAACTGAAAAGTAAAAAAATTTTTTTTAAATGTGGTAGATATATATGTACTAAAATGAAAAACTCTGCAAGATATAATGTAGAATGAGAAAAGCAAGGCATAGGACAATGTGATGCCACTATTAAACAAAAAGTCTAATGAATGCTAAAACTGTGAAAGGCCAATGGAAAACTAGATTTTTGCCCAAGTATCCTCCACATATATGTTAATGGCAAAAGGGAAATATTTGTAAAACGAAGGAATTGGGTAGTTACTACCTTAACCCAGTGATCAAAGCTAGCATCACCTTATAGTAAGATTACCAGACATTATTGCCTCCTGACAGGATGCAATATGAAAGATATAACATCACCTATTATTTTGGCAAAACATAATTTACAGGATTTAACTCTAACTTCTAGTTTATAGCAAAAATAGGGGAAAGAGGAACAAGTTAAACAATGATACAAAGAAACATTTTGGAATGTGGGACCTCATTACCAAAAACAGCTTGTTCTCCAAAAACTCAGTGACAGTGCGAAAAAAGATCAACGTGAAGGGCAGGAATGTTTTAAGCTAAGGAGATTTAAAGTACATAATGAAGTATAAGATGAAGTCCTTGATTAAATACAGCTATAAAAGATACCTGGGCCTGGCCGGGCGTGGCTCAGCAGTTGAGCATCAGCCTAGCATCCAGGTGATCAGGGTTCAGTTCCCGGTCAGGGCACATGCCCGGGTTGTGGGTTCAATCCCAGCTGGGGGCGTACAGGAGGCAGCCGATCCATGACTCTCTCATCATTGATGTTTCTATCTCTCTCTCCCTCTTCCTTCCTCTCTCTGAAATCAATAATTAAAAAAAAAAAAAAAAAAAAGATACCTGGGACTATTTGGGGAAATCTGAATCTGGATTGGGCATTAATGACATCAAGGGATTACAGTTATTTTTGTTAGATATGTTTTCTGGTCATGTAGAGAAAAATCTCATTGAAGATGTATGCAGACATGTTTTCAGTGAAATGTAATTTACTTTAAAACAGCTCAGCAAAAACAAAGTCTATAAAGCAAATGAGACAAAATGCTGGCAATCACTAAACTTGGTATAAATAAGTATTTGGGTGTTGTTATGGTATTTCCTTCTACTTTTCTGAATAAAGCTGTCTTTCTATATGTATTATATATGTATGTAAATGAAAAACTACATTTATGATGATCATGGGGGTTAGCTTCAGGGAGAGGACTGAAATTAGGCAAATGGGTATAAAGCGTAGGTTGAATAAATTTAAAAATCAACCAGAAACATAACAATACATGAATGGTGCACCAACCTTGACATACTTAACTGCTCTTGGAGAAAAATCACAGGCATAAGCATAGATATTTAGATCTTCTTCTAAAAGTGGGAATAAACAGTTCCCAACCCCACAGCCAGCTTCAAGCACAGTCAATTTTTGATCTTCAAACTGAGGAAAAAGAACCCAAAGTTAGAGTACAGTATGTTTGCATAATGAAGAAATAAAAAGGTCCAGGACATGAAAGACAAAGTCTCTGCCCCCAGAGGCAATAAGAAAGTAAACTGATAACCAAAAGCTAACACTGACATCTCAATTTGTTGTCTAACACTGGGCAGTTTGGTGTGGAGAAAACACAGTATAATGGCCAAGAAACAGGCTTTGGGGCTAAAAGGCTTGCACTCAATCCAGACTCCTTCCCTCGCCTGTTCTCTATTATTGGACAACTCAGTTAAATAGCTTTGTGCCTCAATTTCACCAGTAAGTGGGGTTAACACTCATGCCTACTTCATAGTGCCATTATAAAGCCTAAGTTATAGATGTAAAGTTCTAGAAAAGGGCCATGGTAAAGTGTTCATCATCATCATCATTATGAATCTGCCACTGAAGTTCTTCAGTATGAACTTAATATTTACAACTTTCAGATTAGCTTTAAAGAAACAGAAATGCCCACTAAAGTTCTTTTTCCGATGTACTATACAACCCAGGAACTACTAAAACTGCTTGAGACCAGTCTATTTCTCTCTAAGGTACAAATCATTCTGATAGACTTCATGAATTCTTTACCTCACTTCCATAAAAATGCAATGAAACACTCCTTTTCTTCACATTTTAAGTGAAGAACAGCTCGAATAAGGTTTAGCATTACCTCCCTACATGATTTGAGCTCCTCAAACTCTCTGGTGGTCCAGTGTCTGTCTTTGAAAAAATTAGTACTATTTCTTTTGTAAAAAAGATCCCAGTTCTTCTGAGCCTCTCTTTCCAGTTTTTGCTGTTTAAAATCAGACACTAAAGCTTGGTCTCTTTTCAGTTTCTCTTCTTCTTCAGAGCTGAGAATCCTTGCTTGCAGCCCTTTCCTTTGCAAAGATGCCATCTCATAAGTTGATGGTAATATATTTCATAGTGCTGAAGACTCTCCATCCAGGAATAATTTGAGGAATCCACATTTATTCTGCAGACATAGGCAGGGTTTTCTCAAATGTGGTTTTAGGCTGGGTTCAAGACTCAGGCAACATTCCTACCTTGCAGAAAAAGAATGAGATTCTAGTTAGCGATTCCAGACCAGGTCTTTAAGAGGCCGAGTTAGTGGTTCTAGGACAGATCTTTCACCAAACAGTTCAATTCACCAACCATTTACTAGTGCTGACTCTACACAAAACCCTGCCTGCTATAGAGGACAGGTCACAAAGAAGATCAGGACAAAGTCCCTACCATCAGAGGGCTTACAATCAGTGGCCCGGGACCCTCATGCACAGAACTCTAATTCAAACCACAATAAGTTATCTATTAAAATAAATCGGTTTCGTTTGGGAAAAGGACACTCCCAAGAACTGGCTGAGAAACCTTGGAGAAAAAAATACTCATTAATTTCCGGGGCGACTTAATTTGAGGGGTGACTTCACCACCACAACTGCCCGGATTGGATGCGGGTGGTCAACTGCCAGACAGGAGTGGGGTCATCGTTTCCCAAAAATCGGAGACTCGGTTTTTTCGGGGAAGATACAGCTACTCGGGGTGGCCTGAGTCTCTTATCGCACTCACAAGAAGTTCTCTCACAACCAGGGACTGGGGCCCTGGCACAGCCGACCCCGCGCGAAGGGGAGGAAGAGGCCGAGCGACGCGGCCGTAGGATTCCGAGGATCCGTCCCGGGAGACTCCGGATGAACCGGGCTGACTGGGCCGCTAGGGCCTGCGGAGAGCCAGTCACACTGGCCCTCAGACCCGCGCCCATCTAGCCCGCGGCGCTCTGGGCTCACCGTCATCAGTTCCCAGCTTCACTCGGAGGGGTAGGGCCGGGCGCACTCAGCCCTCAGCCAGGCCCGGGCCTCGGAAGCAGAACTGGGGAGCCGCAGCGAGAAAACCCCTGAGCCTGGACACGCCGGCGTGGAGGACTTCAGGATCCCGGCGGAATTCCATTGCCATGGCACCGCCCCCGCCACTTCCGCTACGGACCCAGAAGCGTCTCACCGACGCCGGAAGTCCCGAGGCCTTGCTTCCGCAGAGGCTTCCCCCACCCAGACGAGGAGGAGACTTTCTTCCGGCCCCGGGTGGGCGCCGGTTGGATTCCCGGTGCGCTCCGGAGCCGTGTCCCGGGAGCACCGCTCTCCCGGACGCCGGCGCCGGAAGCTCGTACCGTGGCCGCGCCGGAAGAGCGCCGGTCCGGGCGCGAGGCCCGTGCGGGGCCATGAACGGGACCGCGAACCCGCTGCTGGACCGCGAGGAACACTGCCTGCGGCTCGGGGAGAGCTTCGAAAAGCGACCGCGAGCCTCCTTCCACACCATTCGCTGTAAGTCAGCCCTCCTCGCCATTCCTTTCGGCCGCTCCGGCCGGCTCTTGCCAACCTCGGCCGTCCAAAACACGGGGAGCCCCCTGCCTACGCCAGCTCCCTTCTTTTGCCGCAGATTCCCCAGGGCAAGACCTCGACACCCCCCCCCACACACACACACTTCCCAAACCAAACCCTTCGTCGCTCAACTATTTTACTCTTAGCCCCAAACGCTTCTTCCGAAGTGCATTGGCCCCTTTCTGTCTTCATCGCCCCAGCCAGCCCTTTATGCCAAGCCTACCCCCCCCATTACCGACTGTGACCCCACGTCAGACTCCGGTTCTTCCTCAAATCCACCCCCCCTTTCTAATTATAATTACCCCACCAGGGTTCTCCACCTTTAAAGGGCTCTTCCTGTTTGCTCATGAGCCTCACCCACTCCCTCCTATTTCATTATTTCCCCCCGTTTTCCTCTGCTTTCTCTCCTCGAACGTCTTTGCTCTGGGCGCCCTGAGACACTGCACTTCATTCCTCTTGCAGCCAAAGAATCTGCATCCTCTCTGGGCCCTCTCAGAGTTTTCCTCCTCCAGCTTTCCGCACGTCCTTTGACTCTGATGTCTTTTGCGGTCACGTATACTGCTCTGACTTTAACTCAGGACCAGGCCTCTTGTAGGTGAAGAATAAAATTAGAATGTGTGAGCCTGGAATAAGTTAAAACTTGGTCTGTGCTTGGAAGCAGAAGAGAGCAGGCTTGAAGAATGTCGGCTGGACCATCCTTTTCTACATGATTACAGACTCTGTTGAGGGAGGGCACTCCCACTCTTTCCTATGCCCTGGGTAAAGATTTGGCTTGTAGTAATTGGCTGACTGAGCATCCCTCTGATTCACAAGCTCCTGGTTTCCTGTCTTGGTAATGCTAATACTGATTAAGACTTGTTTTTGTCAAAGGAGCTAATAGTTGTGACTCAACGCATTGGAAAAGGGTGTGTTAGATGATGAAGTTCCATTTTTGTGTGGTCACTTGCTTTGCCATTACTATGTTAACTACTGACAGCAGATCAGCTCTTTCAGAGGGAAGATGTTGGAAATGTGAGGAGACCATCATTTCTTGAGCAGTTCACTAAATTGATGTTTTAGTTGAGTGAAGGGCAATGTGGAATTTAAATGAGACCCTTCACATAAGCACCAGGCCTGCAGTTTGAGGCAGGTGTGTGTTAGAATGGAATAAGGTGGTTATTCATGTTGTACTTTTAATTGCAATTCAGAAACACGGGCGGGATTAACCTTTAGAGAGCAAGTTCAACTGTCTACTCCGAATGTCTACAGGCCTACTTATGTTAAAGCTATGGAACTTTAGTGTGGCAAATCATAATTTTGACAGTTCCTATCTATGCAAAATGAAATCAGCTTATGTGATACTGTAGCCTTTTGTATTTCATGTAGGGTTTTACAATCACAGAATCTTATTAATATGTTCTTGCTTTTGATCCTCACAACAACCCTAAGAAAGCACTTTATAATGGATAGTAAGCATTAATTTTCATCTGTGCTTGGGGAGAAAGGAATATCTTTGCTTAATAAAATGGTATATAAATTCTAGCTTTTTTTTTTTTTTTTTTAAATAACCCAGTTGGGTTGGGAGGAAAAATATGTAGAGATATAAATGAAACAAGATTGTCCTGAGTTGGTAATTATTGAGGCTGGATAATGGTACACAGGGTTTATTGTATTGTTCTCTTTGCTTTTGTATATGTGAAATTTTCCACAATGAAATTTTTTTTTTAATATTGTAAATTATTTGTATTTTCCGTTCATTTGAATAATAATTCTTAAATCAGAATGCCTAGAAACCCCTTAGTGTGAGTAACCTGGTAAATAAATGCTTTTTTTCCTTTCCCTTTAGATGATTTTAAGCCAGCATCTATAGATACCTCCTGTGAAGGAGAGCTTCAGGTTGGCAAAGGAGATGAAGTCACAATTACGCTGCCACATATCCCTGTAAGTTTATTCCATTGTTGTTTTAAATGTAGAATCTCATATTTTATATTACAATTTGAATTACCTACTGTTTAAAAATGTCTTTACCTACTGTTTAAAAATGTCTTTCTCAATTGCCAGCATAAGGAAAAAAGGAATTTGGGGTGTGGATGGGGTGGAGTAGAATGCACACTTCCCAGGTGCTTGATTAAAAATGACCCTACCTGGACATCTAGCCCCTCTTTTAGACATGCATAGCTTTTCCCCAAGCAACTCCACAGAGAAAAGCCATAGGTTCCATTTGATATATAGCAACAACAGTTTAGGAGTGTGGGAGTTAAGGTGGGCAGAAGCAGGACTTATGTCTTTCATGTAATCTGACAAGGGATGAAGTGAGGCTGACAGTTTCAGGTAAGAACCAGAGGTTATGAGCATTGAGCTAATTGAATGACAAGGAACCCAGTTAAAAGCTGCATGGAGAACCCTTTGCAGAGAGAGGCTTTTGTAAAGTCTTGCCCAAGGCAGCACTCTGGTCACAAAGTCCCAAGGGTTAAACAAAATACTCTTTTTTTTAAGCCCTTACCCTAGGATATTTTTTCCATTGCTTTTTCAGAGAGAGTGGAAGGGGGGAGAGAGAGAGAGAAAGAAACATTGATGTGAGAGAGATACATAGATTGGCTGCCTCCTGCACGTGCCCTGACCGGGGCCAGGATCAAGCCTGCAACCAAGGGACCCTTCAGTCCGAGGGCCGATGCTCTTAACTACTGAGCCAACCCGGCTAGGGCAGACAAAATACTCTTAGTGAACATGTGTCATTGCATGCCACAGCCCTGACTTGGAACACAGTTCTTGCTAACCAGTGATAGAATCAAAAGGCTCTGGACAAGGAGACCTGGGAAACTGTTTTTGAAAAATTACCTGTTTGCCAATTTAGACTGCTATTTCATTACTTGTTACCTTTGGCAAGTTAAATCCTCTCCCTTTTGACCTTACTTTCCCAAATGTAAAATAAAGGGGTTAGATAAATGGTCTCTAAGGTCCCTTCCTACTCTTAAGTTGTTATTGTATGAGTGAGGAGCCAAACAGTTTTTGATTAAGTCCTATATTTAGCAAATATTGAGTACCTTCTGTGTACTGGTCCATTACTAGACACCAAGAATAGTCTTGAATAAAACAAGCACATTTCTTGCCCTTGTGGCGTTTATGGTATGGAATTTAAATATAAGAAAATGTAATGCTTAGTTTAGAAAATCAGGGAAGACTTCCATAAGGAAGTGAGCTTTGAGAAGATTTGAAGGTTGAGTAATTGAAAGAGGAGGAGCAGGTGTACAGGCAGAAGCCTTGTTAAAGCCCCAGAGACTGAGGATCTCAGGGAATGCCAGCCACCTTCTGCTCTGGAGCCCACATAGCCCAGGGGTGAGTGGTGCTGGTGAGGCTGAAGGGCTAGATAGTTGGTTTAAAGATTTAATTATTTGACCTCAGAACAATGGGGTAGTGATCAAAGGGCCTAGGCAGGTGAGTGGCCTGATGTACTTACTCTGAGCTAACCAGAATAATGAATGAGCTACCCTTGGAGATGCTCTGTTGGTTACTTGGCATGAGGAGGAAGCCCTGAACTCTCCAGTTGTGAGGAAGTATTAGAAATCTCTCACTAGCTTTACTTCTCATAATGAAAGCTCTACTCAGTGTAATACAAGTAATGGTTAGTTTATTTTTCTCAGTTCATTTTACCATTATTTGTAACATTTTCCGAATCCCTGGAACAATGTACAGTAATTTAAAATTTTATATTATCTTTCTTGATTAATTAGAACCAGTTGTACAGTCACAGATTCTTGCTATATTATTCCTTCCCTTTATTTTTGCCTGGGAAACCAGGAGGAGTTCTTTTTGAGTCTCTGATAAAAGATTTGATGAGGTAGAGTCACATGTAAATTCTGTTTTGATATTCATAACTAGTGTGTTCAATGTTGATCCTCTTGTACTTTTTGTGCCATATAGGGATCCACACCACCAATGACTGTGTTCAAGGGCAACAAACGGCCTTATCAGAAGGACTGTGTGCTTATTATTAATCATGACACTGGTGAATATGTGCTGGAAAAACTCAGTAGCAGCATTCAGGTCAAGAAAACAAGGTATGTGAATAACCAGGTATAGAGTGATGTGAGTTTGCATTTGTATTCTATCTATTTGATTATTTTATAAGATTGTGAGTATGTGAGTACTCAGTATCTTATCAGTAATCTCAGTGACTCCATCTATGTCTTTTCAGACAGATCCATAAAATATCTTTTCGTCAAATGTAGTAGAAAGAAATAATGCTTTTAAGATCCGAAAAGCGAAAGCCATTGGGGAAAGGGGTATACTTTATAAGTAAATTGATTTTACTAATCTCATGGTTTTTGAAACAGTACCACTTAAGGGATAAGATTTAAATTCATAGACTTGTTAGTATGAAAGAATAATTGAATAATATGTATTCTTTATTAAAGTGAAAACATTAATTTTTTATTAGATCCATTTTGATGTCATTATAGTACCAAAATAAAGCTTTGCCTATTTTCAAATCAAAACTCATTCTATAAATAGAAGTAACCCAATGGTTGTATTATTACAGTGTGATATAGCAATTATTGTAATATGGCAATTTTTAAAGAGAGCATTACAGCCTGATATTTTCTGTCTGCTTCCTCAAGCCATTTTCTTCACTTATTTCACAAAAAGTAAAAAGAAGCTGCCATTTATTAAGGGGTTATATGCCAGGAAGTGTGCTAGTTGCTTTATGGCATTATCTTTTCTCATGTATAAATAACTCTTAGAAAGATTGTTATCCTTATAAAACACGTACCCACAGAAGAGGAGACTGAGGATGAGTGAGATTGTGACTTACCTGAGTCCGGTGCCAGTGTGCTGCAGAGCCCTGTTCCTTTCCTTACGCTTAGTGTATTTGTATTTGCCTCCACGAACCAGATGTTGCTGTTACTCCTCCAGTAGCTGATGGCTGTGACTATTTCTCTCACTACTCACTGTTTTCTGGGGACTAGCAGCATTTATCACTTGGGTTCTTGTTGAAAGTGCAGAATTTCAGGACCTAATAAGTAAAAGTCTGCATTTCTGTGAGATCCCCAGATGGTTGTGTGCACACTAAAGTTTGAAAAGTGCTAGGCTAGTCTCTTACAAAAGAAATTGTTAATGGATAGAATTTTCAGTTTGGGTTGGACCACTTTGTCTGCCAGCAAGAGCTGGTTGGTATGTGACAGAATGAGCAAGCAGTACATAGATACAGGAAAAATGTACAAATATTTCAAGAGCTAGTTTTATTTAGTAATTCATACACTTGTGATGATCACTTTATATTGTTTATAAGTCAAATAGTCATATTTTCTATTAGTAAAATGGGTTCTTACAATCACATTGTATTCTACACATCTATTTTATCTGCTTCTTGCTATAAAATGTGAGCTTGAGGGCAGTGAGTATATTGTATTCAAATCTGTATCTCTGGTGCATAGTGCAGTACTGGAATATAATAGATGGTTGTTGAATGATTAGTTCGTGTGATAAAAATTATAAATATCAATATTTTGCAGCAGTCTAAAAAACATGGAGTTCTGCAGAGACAAATGCGAGAACCACTGGCTTTGTCCCTATGGTTTAATGTCTGTATCTCATTTCAGGGCTGAGGGGAGCAGTAAAATCCAAGCCCGAATGGAACAGCAGCCCACTCGTCCCCCACAGCCATCACAGCCCCCACCCCCTCCACCACCTATGCCGTTCAGAGCTCCAACGAAGCCTCCAGTTGGACCCAAAACTTCTCCCTTAAAAGATAACCCTTCACCTGAACCTCAGCTGGATGACATCAAAAGAGGTAGAGCACATTTTCTGGAGGCAATAAGCAACTTGGGGTGATATGGTGTTGATGTTTTTGTTGAGAGCACAAGGCTGCCATATTGACATGATGGCATGGGCATTCTCTGCCATTGAAAGTTTTCTGCAGAGTTCATTCCACAGTGATGAGGGTGAGGGCTTTCCCACTTTTCTCATTTGATGGGGGGAAGGTGTCCAGGCATAGTGACTTAAGTTGTGGCTATCTTTGCAGCATTCTGCTGAGGGGCCCAGTATCTAAACAAGCATGACCGCCACCTAAAGGTCCCTACGGCATACCTGCAAGGCTTTGGAAAAAGAAAATACCAAGGTGCTGAAGGTGAAACGAAGTGTGCCAATGTTAATATAGTGTCTAGTTTAGAGGGACATTTGTACCAATGCAAAGTTTATGAATATGAAAGTGCCATGAGGACCAGTGGAAGTGAACAGTGGCCTAAAAAGACTTAGAAGTCTGGTCAGGCTCTCTCCCTGCATACCTGAGAAAGCAGCTTACTTGCTTTCGCTTCTATGCAATGGATGCTTTTAGTTGTCCAGACTCTTAGGGTAAGTGTCGTATTTTCATATTTGTAAAATTTTATGAAACCAAATTAAATCAATAACTAGTAAACAGGGAAAGAAAGAGTTGCCCTTTGGAAGTTTGCCTTGTCCATCTTACAGAAGTGCTGTCTTTAGCAAACAAAGTCATCTTCGCACAGTGCGCAGTTGTTAAGCGACTTGACTTTTTCCCTCGTGAATATTGGAATGTCACATATGGAAGCTTTCACTTGAGCTGAACAGGAGTTACACCATGAGTGGCTAGTTGTTCCCAGTTATAATTAAAGGAACCACAGCCGTATAAGGTCACCTTGTGTGTTTGGACCGGAAAATCTATTATGTATCCCTGATGTACTCAGCAACATTAAAATGCTTGAGTAAAACATGTTTTCCCTTCCCTGCTTTACATCTGTAAACAATGCATTACCTGACAGGCTGGGCTGCCAGTCACATACGTAAAGTGGGCAGAGGAGGACTTGTCCACCATGTATCTTCAGCCACCGTGGTTCCTCCTGCAAGCTTCCATGTATTCGTGGGATGTGAAAACTGGAAAGCACTCCAGACGCTGTCTGCTCTGGCCCTTCATTTTTCCAGTGTGTCTTGGAAAATTCTTAGACTTCCACTTGGGTCTCTGCTGGTTAGAGGTAGATCTAAAACAAGCACTCAGGCCTTCTAATTCCTCGTCAGATATTTTTCAGTCCCTTAGTATATTATTACTCTTATTTGGTGTTTAATTCTAGAATTAACCATTTTTTTGTTAGTAGATAAAGACAAAATAGGCTTAATTCACTTCTTAGAACAGTCAGTGATCATCCTGAATCAGTTTGCCTTTGGTTATTTGGGGTGAACTTAGTGTTTCCATTGTCTCTCTGGAGACAGGTTAGGGTTTTTGTTTGTTGGTTTTGGTCATTTTGTTTGTACATTTTTAAGGAATTGAGAAGTAGGAGTTCATTTTAAGTTATTCCTTGTTGCTGTTGGTTTTACCAATTTACTATTTACAGAAGGTTCAGTGTGCTGCCTTGAGAGTGGTTGCTGTGCTGACCCCTGTCGTGCCATTTTATTCCAGAGCTGAGGGCTGAAGTTGACATTATTGAACAGATGAGCAGCAGCAGTGGGAGCAGCTCCTCAGACTCTGAGAGCTCCTCAGGAAGCGATGACGACAGCTCCAGCAGCGGAGGTGAGGACAACGGCCCTGCATCTCCTCCACAGCCTTCTCACCAGCAGCCCTACAACAGCAGGCCAGCCATGGCCAACGGAATCAGCCGGCCACAAGGAAGCAACCAGCTCATGAACACCCTCAGTAAGTGTGCTTTCCCTTTTCTGGCCGGGAGGGTGGCCTGTCAGGCCAGAGATATAGCTTCTCTTTATCTTTGGTAAGAATCTATAAACCTGAGGATATTTAAGGCTTAAGAAAGGATCCTGACAAAGATAATTTGGAACAGAGAAGAATAAATGATCAAACTGTAAAAAAAGAAACACAAAACTTAAAAATCTGTTTTTCTCTTTCCTTTTCCTCACCGGCACAAATTAGGTTTTGTGAATTCTGGAAAATACTGAAACATAAATGGCTAGGCTCTTTATTTTTGTATATACCACGCTTTAGGGGTACTGTCTGCGACATAGTGTGCCCCTCCGCCAGGTCTTTATATAGTCCCAAGGACCCAGTGCCTCTAGACTCTGGTGGAACCTGTGCTATTGGGTATATTTGGAGACCAACTAGCCTTTGGCAACAGGAAAGGAAAGGGCATTGTAATGTCTGGGCAGCTTTCAGTGGAGTTGCTACTAAAGTAAAGCACAGGAGAAAACAAATCTCTTTGTTTTGGAGGCAGGGAGAGTACTCTAGGTTCTGTCCAGAATCCTAATAAATGCTCTCCCCTGGTACAACTTCCTTTCAGGAGGTTGGAAAGTCTGGAGGCAATAGTGGGGAAGCTAACCTAGTGAACCCTACTACTGTGGACCAAGCAAAGATAATTCCCAACCTCACAATTTTTGTGAAAAATAAGTTTTCTAAATAAAAAATATTTAATAAGAAGGTAACATTACTTTAAAATTTTGCAAATCTTTACTGTGTGGTTTAGTAGAAAGATGGACTCTTACATGTGCTTCTGCATTCAGTCTGTTCCATTAGTTGTGTAGGTTGAAGTATATGAAGAAAATCTGGCCTCACAGGTATATAGTTAGAAAAGGAAGGACCTCAGGGTTGGACCCTCCTGGAGAGTCTCAGGGACCCCAGAGTCCTCAAAACAAACTTTGAGAAGAGCTGGCTTGGAGAGTAGCAATCCAGAAACACAGTAGTTTCAACACAGTGGTATCAACTGGGGGCCTGCTATTCTTACATTAGATGGAATGTTGAGTACTTATATCCTTCACTCCTAAAACCTAAATCCTGCACACCAAACACAAATGTGAGGCTTGACAGCGCTCATTAGTTCAAGTTTCAAGTGTAAGTGACGTGAATACCCTGGACAGAGGTGTACCAGAGAGGATATTGGATCAGCATGTTATAGGTATAAAAATTACTCAGCTTCCTGAGTGGGAAGCCTAACTTGGTGTTAGTTTAGCTCTCACAAAGCAGCTTAATGTGAAAAATTCCAGATAGTGAATCAGTTAAGCAGCTTAATGTGAAAAATTCCAGATAGTGAATCAGTTATTTAGAAATATAGAGGTGGGCAAAAATAGGTTGCAGTTGTTTATATGGAAAATACAATAAATAACAACACAAGAATAAACTCTGTTTCACATACTCACTACTGTAAACCTACTTTTGCCCACCCCTGTATTTTTTATTAACATGTTTAAAAGCTGTCTAGCCTACTCCTCCCCTGTTCTGTCTCAGTAAGCAGCATTATTTTGCAGATACCAAAAAATAGCATTTCTTTCGAAGTGTCGACTGCACCAGTTTTGTCACTGAACCAAATCAATTTTTTTTCCTACTGAATTGAATTGGCTTGGTTTTGCTTTAGTGTGATAGCCAAGGCAGTCAACCAAAGAATTGTGGGAAAGTCATTTTTAAATTGTGTACTTTTGGTTTGATTCTGTTATCTTTTTATAGGAATTGACTTACAGTTGAGTGAATCTGGGAGTGACAGTGATGACTAGAGCTGGATCTTTTCACATCAACTTTTTGGTGCACAGATATGCTGCAAGACCAGGCCACTTTGCGTGGAATCCATTGGCAAGAGGAAAATGTTGTGGATCGGTGACTGTAGTAGTAATTTGAGGCTCTGCAGCTCCCAGATATTCAAGTCTTTAACTTAATGGTGATGGGTGATTTTCTCGTGTAATTTTTGAACAATCTCATGTTTCAAGGTTTAAGTAGGTCTGTAGAAGAACTAACAGAATCATATTTCTATTTGGTTAACATTGTTAATGGAAAATGGGCAAATGTACCCTGGTCTAGGTTACTCAAAGGCCATATCTTCACCAGGCTAGTGATTCTGTTTTAAACCCCAGCAGCCACCAGTTTGGCCAAGTGGTCTGCACTAGTGAAATGAGAAACAGTCTTTGAGGGGTAGGAGAGAAGGGGAAATCTCAAACTGCCACATAGTAGTAGTTAAAACCACTTGAAATTGTGGGGAAAAGTGGTAAGGAAGTTTTGTCTGACCCAGCCTGACAAGCCTGTGTAGAAATGGACTTCAAGGGGAGTTCTCAAGTGTCAGCTGGGCGGGACCCTGGAGCCCTAGCAGTTTAACTCCCTCATTTACAAGTAAGGAAAGGGAAGCACACAGCTGGCTTAGCCTCCTGCCCCCAGTCCCGGCTTTCCCCACTGCTCCCTCCCTTGAGCCTCACTTATTGGAACCAGAGATTCTTATAGATGAGACAGATATACATAGGAACTTTTATTGGATTCGAAAAGACACAAGTATTGGGTACTTCTAGCTCAAATTCAGATCCAGACAGTCCCTAAATACAGGAGGCTGGGCTAGCAGATTAAATCAGCAGCCACTATGCTGACACACATGAACCAGTTAAGTCAGGGCTTTTAGTTCCATGTAGATCCATAGTAAGTGTTCTTCATTCAGTGGATTTTAGTGGGGAAGGCAGGAGTGGAAGAGAGGTGTTGTGAAGCAACCTTTCTAAACAGGCGAACCAGCAGCGGATTTTCAGAAACCAGAACCTAAACAGGAGTTCTGCAGTATGAAATAAGCACATTCTTTGATAAGGTGTTTCTGTTCGTGCTTCTGTACCACTGTTTGTGCCTGACTCCCAGACTGATTTGTAGTTTTTATATACAGGTGGAAGAAAGTCACAAGGTTGCCTTCTGCAGTGTGCAGTTTCCAGATGAATCCATTGTTGCAGGAAATTGGTCACTAGTAAATGTTTCATACTGAGTGAGTGTATGATAAATTTTCCCATAATTAGTTTGGAGTGTCCCATTTCTGTAATTTGAATGAATATGTCCTGAGAAATTTCCACCTACTTTGGTTTAGCGGGTATCAGTCACATTAAGTATGATTTTCCTTCCTGTGGTGCCTCCACTCAGATGGCCTCTCTTTCCCCAACTAGTGGAGGGGCTCAATCTGGACCTAGAAGGGAATTAGAGGATCCCAAGTGGTGGCTTTGGTTAGAGGTGAGCCTTATAGTGTGACCTGTTTTAACTGCATAGTGACCCAGGTGAGCTAGAGATGTGGAGCGCAGCCACTGTCCACCAGCACGCTCACACCACTACCATGTGTAGGTAATAGGTACACACTCGTACCTGTGGTGGATGCGCAGCCCACCAGAAGGTGTCAGTGGATTTAATGGCATATAGGAATTTATGTATAATGAATTGACAATTGCTTTTTATTTCCTTAGTAATGACAGCTCAGGGAGGGTAAAGTCATGATTAGGAGACATGAATTGTTACTGGATGTGGGAATGTTTCACTGCTCTTAACTTGCTCAAGCTGGGGCAGGTTTCAGGAACTTGAACTAAAAATATTTATTGAAGCCTTTTTTTTTTCTCCTCCCATAGTCTTCACATTGACAGAACTGTGGTTTTGGCATGCCGGGTAAAGATGTTTATTTCTGTAGGAAGTGTTTGCATGTGGAACTGGGTTTGGCGAGTCAAGCTCCCTGAGCTTTCGACTCTCCTGTTATCCATCCTCCCAACATGCACCGTCGCCCTTTAGCTTGGCTCCAGTTTGGCGCTCTGCACAAAGCCTTTGGTGGTTCCCTCCCCCACCCTCCAGCTTTACCCACTGCAATAAGGAATCTTTCCTTTTTGGAAACCAAGAATTTGGCCTTAAGACTGCTTCTCACGAGTACCCTCATGCCAGCCAGACTGGCCATGTTCTTCCTGCCTCTGTGCCTTCTCAGTCTCTCCTCTTCCCCAGACCTCACTCCTTGGGTGCCATCTCCTGCAGGTGCCATCTTCACCGCCCCTTCCTCTTTTCAACCGACTGGAGTGCTGTTTGTCCATACTGACCTCCTCCTTGTTTGAGCTCTGGTTAGTATGAACTTAAAAGCAGGGACCGTTATTCTCACCTCCATCCTCTGGGATGTCCACAGGAATATACATTCACATGCTTATAGCTGGTGGGGAAGAGGCGGAGAGAACCAGCCAGTAGAGTAGAGAGGGTAGACATAGAGAAAACATTCCAGGCATTTGGAGACAGCTGAAAGGTATCCATGCTGATATTCATAACTTTGAAGTTTCTAACTGAATTGTTAAAATGACCTTTCCTTTGTTCTATGTCTACCATACTGTGGGTCATTAGGCGAGGTGTAAAGACTTAAGTCCGAATTATCTGAGGAACCATGGCAAGCCACAGTAAAGACATGATTTGGAAAAACTTAATACAAAGAAACTAGAGATTTGTAACGATGCCACTCATTAATCATTTTATTTCTGTAGCAGGATCATTCTTTTTATGTGTGGTATTATATGTATGTGCTTCAGTAGTGGGAAAACTTGAAAATTCCAAAATCCTTACTTCCCTATTTGAGAGGCTGGTTAAGTGGGGTATGTGTGTGTGTGTGTGTGTGTGATGTATTTATTACATTATTCTGAAAGAGTAATACTATGTTATGTGGGTATATATTAAGTCAGCCAAACTGGACGTTTCCATTTGGCAAGGAAGGTAGGATTTCTGAAACTCAGGCCTTAACCAGTAGGTTCGAAGACAAGACCAATTGAAGCTTTATGAAATGTTTTTGTTGCTCCTGTTATTTCTGTCTTGGGTTCATTGTCTCATTCTTTAATGATTTTTAAAATTTTGTGCTTAAAAGTTTATTTTGCTTAATTATGAAGTAGACGTGCATGTTTACATTTATGTAAAATATTTGCTGTGTAAAGTTTTTTTGTTTATTCTCTTAAAAGATCACTATATTTAAGTAAAAATGAAGGTCAGCAATATGCTTCCTGTCTTGGTGAATTTTATTTTCTTACTAGAAATCATGAAAAATGTGGGGTGGTTCTTTTAAGAATTCTTTGTGCTTAGCCCTGATTATCTAAATTGATTCCTCAGTTTGGTGTTATGCTTATTAGGACGCACACCTATTTTAAAAGGTCTGTAAGGTCAAAACTAAAGGATGAGTGCAGTAAGTCACATGGTGTCTGAGGCCATGGCACTGGTCTGGAAAGGCGGGCTTAGCTTTGGATCCAGAAGCATGCAGGGGTGAAACAGTCCCTAGATGCATCCTGGTGGTTTTAGCTCACCAGGTCCCTTCACCTGGAACTGACACTCAGTGGCTGTAAGGGACCTGCCTCCTGCCTCCATTCCACACTGATCAGCCGTGCCCATGTCTGTCTGGTGGTCTTGGCTCCCAATAGACTGCAGACCGGTGGGTCATGACTGTATTCCTTTTTAATTCTGTGCTGTCTTTCACCTAGTGGGGCCTCAATAAATTTGGATTGAATACAATTACACATCAAGAGGTCTAGGCCAGGAATCCTCTGCTGCTTATTCTGTAAATGGCTCCAGTTTCCTCAGGTGGAAACAGCGGTTATACTTGAGCCGGGTCTCAGTGGGGAAGTGGTGGTATACATTCATCACCTAAGAGTCTGATGCTCAGTTAACTGTTGCCACTATACTGACATGTAACAAACCATCCCAGAACTCAGTAGCTTAGAATAATTCGCCTTTATTTTGCTCACAAGTCTGGATTGGCGCCTTAGACTGGGCATGGCTGGACAGTTCTGGTCTTGACTGGGCTCCTCCCTGGGCAGTTGACATGATGGCCTTGGCCTGCACAACTGGGGTAACTCAGGCAGATTAGCTCCATGTGCCTTATCCTATAGCAACCCAGCCTGGGCATATTGTCATGGCAAAGGCAGAGGTGCTAAAGTGAGAGGAAACAACTGCCTCTGTCACAATTGCTAACATGTCATTGGCCAAAGCAAGTCATAGGGCCAAGTTCAGAATCAAGGGGCAGGGAAATACACTCCACCAGTTGATAGGAGGAGTTGCAGAGTACACTGGGAAGATATGGATACAGGGAGGTATGAAAATTAGGGAAATTATTGCAGTCAATCTACTACCTCCACATACTCCATGTCTCCACTGTGGTTGAGAACCCTGGTCCATATAATCACTAAGGAGGCCCCTCCTAGCTCTGGTTTTTCTTGCCAGATAAAAGTCCCAATGGGAGTTAAGACATTTCAATTCATGGCTCCTGCAGAGGGCACCAAACCCAAGCCAGAGGCTTCTCTAGGCTTGGCAGGTCCCTCTTTACCCATTGCATGTAGTTCTCTCCTCCCCTTTCTAACCTAGAACAATATTCTAGTTTTCTATTGCTAAGTAACAAACTACCCCAAAACTTAGTGGCTTAAAACAACTACTATTTTATCTCACGGAATCTGTTGGTTAGTAATTAGGACAGAACTTGGCTGGGCAATTTTGCTCTCTGGCTTAAACTGAGGTCACTCAGTGGTACTCAGTTGGCAGATGGGCAGGACAGGAGAGTCCAGGCTGGCTTCACTCACATCTGGCACCATGGTGGGGATGTCTGGAAGCAGGCTCACTTGGGACCATCAACCAAAGGGGCTGGCTGTCTAGGAGGGCAGTCTCAGGATAGTTGGCATGATGGCTACCTTCCCCTAGAATGAGTGTTCTGAGAAGCTGTATGGCCTTTTATGACCTAGCCTATGAAGTCACACAGTATCACCTCCACAGTATTCTATAAGCCAAAGCAATGAAAAGCCCACCTAGATTCAAGAAGGACATAGGTTCCCCCCCTCCCCAGTTTAATGGAAGAGTATTAAAAAGCCACCCACCCAAAGTCCCCACCTTTCCTCCCTGCATTTTGGGTTTAGTCTTCTGCAATTGTTCTCAGATGAGCCACATCCCTAGAGCAGTGGCTCTTAAAATGTGGTCCCTGGTCCATCACATCCCCTGGGACCTTGTTAGAAATTAAATTCTCAGGCCCCACCCAGACCTGCTGAATCAGAAACTCTAGAGTGGGACCCAGTAATGTTTTAACAAGCCCTTCTGGTCATTCTAATGAACCCTAATTGCAAACTACTGATTTGGGACAAAAATCCCTTAATGAGTCTCAAGTGATGACCCATGACCACAATGACTCTGTTCAGCTTCCCATCTAGGGGTTGATTGAGCATCACCTAGGGCAGGGCATGCAGTAGAGTGTGGTCCTGTTAATGGGCTGGAACATCAAAGACAAGAAAATTCGTCACTGACCTTGAAGAAACTACAGGGGCCCAAATAACCACAAATGAAATTCACTTAAGATACTAGTGTTTCTGCAGCAGAATTTCAGTGATACATGGGCCCCTTTTCATTTCTATAAAGGGGGTGGGATGGGGGTACGGGGGCAGGGAAACAGCCAATTTCTTCCTCAGGAAAGTTGTTTCTTGTAGACTTGTCTGACTCTAAAAATCAACTGTATGGGGCTGAAAAGAACTCAGGTGAACCCCCAGAGAGAGCCCTCTGATAAACGCACTGTGAGTTCTTTTCCTCTCTCACGGGGGTTGGATGAGGTGGTGGGGAGTCTAACCCATTACTCTTGTGTGATTTGCAACCCTCTCAGAACGGCTACAAGTGAAGGTGATGGAGAATAGAGACACTCCTGGAGCTTCTGAGGGGTAACTGTGCATTGCGCAAGTGTAACAATCTCCTCGGCGAATTCCCAAGGTCCTGGAGCTCATGGTTATCTCACAAATGGAAGATATGAGTTTCGCTGAAAATTTAAATTGGTTCACACTGCACTATAGGGGAGGGATGGGACAGACAACTCAAGTAAAACAGTCACTGGGCCATAGGTTGGACCATTCATTATAATGAGGTTTGGAGATTCTTAAGCAAGTTGACCCATATGTGCCCTCCATGCCCCTATTAGAGTGATAGATGACCGGTGTGTCTGTCCCAAGATGCTCAGAAGCTACCATCTTCCTAAGCACCGGTTTCTAAGTACTAGTTACCAAGCTCCCTTCAAAGACCTTTGCTTACAAATTTATCACTCAAACAGCTTTGCTGGTGGGTAGAGAAGAGCCCTGGGGCCAAACCCCATCCCCACACTTCCCTGGTTATAGTCAGAGCTTCTGGACTGACCTAGAGAGAATCCCAGCTCTGGTGGATCCTAGGGATCAGTTGAGCAGAGCTTGTGCCTCTGTGACTGCTGAAAGAGTAAAAATAAACGAATTCACTGAGATGAATACTGAGAGAGTATAGTTAGCCCTGCGCCCTGCCGTTCATCAGACTGCTGGAGCTGACCCTGAAAAGCCAGCTGCCAAGTTAACAGGAAGTGATCTTTCTCCCTAGGTCCCTGCTGCTGCTCCAAAGTGTCATAGTCACTCCTAGATTTGGATGACTGCTGCTTTCTTTCCAATGACATCCCCAGCCTCCCTTTGTTACTCCTGCTACCTGCTACCTGAAATTTTGTGACTAAAATCCTGGGCTGTCAAAACTTTGCAGTTTGCAAGCCTATCAGTAAGGATGGAACATTCCACTCTTGCCTGGAAGACCTGAGCTGCCTGAGTCACTTTGACACAGAGACATGGTTTCAATTTCCAGCCTAGACTCAGAATTTCTGAGGGGTTTTCAGGCACAGCAGTCTATGTTTTTCTTAACTTTGTAGTTTGGGTTTTTAAAAAATCAGGACCTGGGTCCACTTCCCAATCTAGGTTTGATGCTGACCCCTTTATACACGGCTTGCTTTGCTTGGTACCTGTCCCAACGCTGCTTCATTTACATCCAACTTACACTCCACCCCTCCCCAAATCCTAACATAATCTTGTTCTTGATTGAATGAAATGCCCCATTGCTCCTCTGGTGTTCAGTCTCCCAAGTACAAGTCAGTAAACCTCGTTTTGGTGGTCTGCAGGTTCATCCCTGGTGGTGCTCGTCGGATGGATCATTACAGGAAGGTTTGGGAACCACTGCTCTTTCTGACTGCTTAGGAGTAAAGGGCTCCAAACTCACAAAAGTGAACTCATGAAACCAGCTTCCAAGTGGGAAGAAAAATACCCCAGGTTCCCAAAGAGGTGATTGATTCGCCTCAAGCTACTAAATAAAATAATGACACAGATAAAATCCAACACTTCCTAAACAGTTTCTAGGTGTCAGAAATTTTAACCATATGATTACTAAAATTCAACACAACCCTGAAATAAAGTACTGTTATTCTCAGTCTATTGATGAGAAAACAGACTCAGAGAAGTTAAGCAAATTGTGTCTGATAATTAAACAGATTAGTGCTCTCCAAGGTGTGAGACCAGGCCAGGGATCCTCTCAGGCCCAATGGATCTCCATCCCTCTAAAACAAGATCCTAACATAAGGCTGGGGGTGGGGCTGGGCTAACAAGACTGGGCTTTGTGACCACTGGACCCCAGTTTCCTCCCTTGACCCTGAGAGAGCAGGACTGCTTCCAAACTCTAGAACCCTCAGCAGAGTCTGGAGAGAAGACTTGAATTCAGACCCCTCATTCCATCCAGCAATGCTAGACACTTTCCAAACCCACAGGGAAGACAGAGCCACAGCGGGGGAAAGAACTGCCTTTATTTCTTCATTTTGCACCAGAGATCTCAGTACGAAGGTGGTGGCTTTATATGGGAGCAATATCACCCTGGGACTTGCAGAAGAGGCTGAAGAAACCAGGCTGACCCATGTGCCCACCTGTGACAACACTGCCCTTGGGCCTACCCCATCTACACTAGCATGGTGGCCGGCTCAGCCAGAGCTCCTGCCTGCTGAGTCACCAAGACTTAGCCACATGAAACAGCTTTGTACAAAAGCCTAGGAGTGTCCCTGCATCTGTAACAAATGGGCAAATCCCATTTGAGGTCTGCCATGGGGGAGACATCTTTCCAAAACAAAGCTGAGGCCCACTCAAGAAAGATGGTGGTGATAGGCAGCCCACACAGGACGACGGTCCTGTGGACACATGGGGGGCTTGGGCACACAGACATGAGGACCAAGCTATGCGCTATGGAGACATAGGGGGTCACAGGAGTCAGCAGGCAGCCAGGAGTCAGAGCTCAGGACAGAAACTGTCTCTGCCTAGAAGTGTGGGGTCCCAGATGGAACACCCAGGAGGGGGCTCTGTTCAGCCCTGCCTGGGCGTGGACTCAGGTCACCCTCTGCTGGAGAATCTCCTAAACCAGAAATGGACATGAAGAGCATTTGTGAGATGGTGGTCAAACTGCAGAGAGCCACGAGGTCAAGAAGGAGCCTGGGAAACATCAAGAAGTGGAAGGCCACTACTCGCTACCACCTGCACAGCAGGCACCCCAGCTGAGCCTCACCCTCTACCCAGGGCAGAGCGTGGGTTCGGGGGTTTTCTCAGTACTTCTTCATGGTTGGATCTCTTGTTGGGGGAGCCATGTCCACATGGGGCTATGCTGGGCTGTGGCTAGTTGAGGGGTCCCTCAGCGGGTCCAGAGCTGGGAGCCACCACAAGAGGGCGGGCCCCCTCCCCTGCTGTGTGGTTCACAGGCCTGGAGAGACCCAGCGGCCAGCTGCCCTGGTAAGATGCCAGGGTTTCCAGAAGTCAGAGGGGCGAAGAGCCCCTTACCCGAGACGCCCCAGATGCCCCACATGGGGTGAGAACAACAGCCCGCAGGTCTGTGTGTGTCTAACAGTGCTCAGCCAGTCCAAGGCCTGGGGGCCTGGGTCAGTGACACTCTGGAAGACAACAGGCACCATAGGTCACTACTGGCCTACTGGGAGCTCTGGGTCAATCCCCAGGCCGGGCACGTGGGAGGTCTTCCCGGACTTTGGATTAAGACAGGATGCAGTGGTCCTGACTCTTCCAGTAGGACTGAGTTAAAAGCATGTCTTAGCAGCAAGAGTCTGATCTTGTTTTTGTTGAATGAAGGTGGTGGAAACTGGACCAGGATGGCGAGGTCAGTGTAACGAGGGTGGAAAAGCTGCTGCATGTGTGTGCGATGCAGGCCACCTGGCGTCCTCAGGTGAAGTAGCGGCAGGGTGTGGAGTCGATGTTGCAGTAGGGGGTGCACTGCAGGTCCCCATATGACCTGAGAGAGGCAGACACAGGTCAGGGTGGACACTGGCAGTAGGCAGGAGAGCTCCTGCCAGCTCTCAGGAAAAAGCCATGTTCTAAAAGGCCACCTGTGGTGACTTTGGTCAAGCCTCACCCAACAGCAGCTGCTGCTGCCCAGGATTCTATAGAGACTGTCTTCATTCCCGTGTGAGGCAAGGGATTTGGGGGAGTTGAGTCCAGGCCTCTGGGGCTTTTCGCCTTGAGCTGAGCTGAGGGATCTGGGAGGAGGGGGGCGGCAGCCTTGCTCTGAACACAGCATCCCTGGGAGAATCTCCCCCTCTCAAGGCCTGAAATGTGCACCTCTGTCCATTAGATCATCCTGCAATGATGCAAATGTTCTATTGCCATGCAGTCCGATATGGCAGTCATGGGCCTTATGTGGCTGCTGAGTGCTTGAAATAAGGTTAGTGTGACTGAAGAACTGGATTTTAAATGTTATTTTATTGTAATTAATTTAAACTTAAATAGCCACATGTGCCCAGAGGCTACCATACTGGACAGCGCAGTCTATTGTGTAAGCCCAAGTCATAACCCTGAGACAGCACGTTGTACATTCTGCCCAAATTCACAAGCAACCTGAGGCTTCTAGGGACTAGGAGAGTAACCACAGTGAGCCAGTGGCCGAGCCCTGGGCTCTACACTGTCCTCTTCTCCATGAGTGATTGTCTATACTCAGCTGTCGCCATGGAGCCACCCACCAGCTCAGCCCTTCTGCCAACTTTCTGGCAGATGCCTGTAAGGAGCCCTCCTTACCTCAAAGGGGAGGCAGTGCACAGACAGGCTCAGTGGAGGTCTGGCCAGGCCTAGAGTAACAACAGGTCGTTTGCGCACCCCCCCACCCCCCTCCCCCCCGTGGTCTGATCTGCTGACATGTGTTTGGGGGATGGGCATTGAAAAGACCCCCTTGAAGAGAGCAGAGTCTGGTGTCTAGGGGGCACTAGAGAGACAGGCCTGGTGTCTGTTCCCCAGCTCTGCCAAGGGCCTGGGTCCAAGCCTACAAGAGGAGCAGGGCTGGAAGCAAAGGCTGGAGAGCCTGGACTCCTAAGAGACGTAGAAGTGTTGAGGGGCCAGTGACCTGCTCTGGAGCCAAGGAAGGAGCAGAGCATTTTTCCCTAGAGCATTAGACAACTCTGGTTCTGGGAGGATTAGGGGAATGTGGCACAACTTCACACCTTGAAAGGAGCTCAGGGGGCCACATTCTGGGCATGGAGTCAGTGCCTCACAGGGCCCGGGCCCTCAGCTGGCTTGGGAGATGACTTGGAGGCCAGAACACTAGATACTTATCCTGAGCAACGTAAACCCCACTGAAGTCTCAGAAATAACTAGAGGGGTCATTGAAGGGTATACTAAGTTCCTGGGATTTTCCTGAAGGAGCCACAAGCCAGCAAAATTAGACACTAATACTGGTGTGGCCTCACTTGCACCCACAGGCCTGCCCAAGGGTGGGGGTTGTTCCAGAGAATTCAGGTTACACGGATGCTTAGAGTCTTTGAAATGCCCTGATACCTCCACCCTCCACTGGGCTTCCCTCCCAGACCCACACCGCCCAAAACTAATGTGGTCATGGCAGCCACTGGGGATGGAGCTGCTCATGTAGGGGCAACAGCTGAGCTTGGAGACTGCTGACCCCCAGGGCCGGGATGGAGCTGGTGGCTGTGTCTGCTCCAACACGGCCTCAGCAGCACGCATGCTGCTCTGGGAGGACACCTGGTGGGTATGGGTTCACTGCCTGCCTCGGTGAGCAGGAACCATGTGTTATTTGTTATAATACCTCGGTGTCTAGAAAGTTCCAGGAACATAAGATGCACTCAAAATTTGTGAAGGAGAGAAGAGAAAGGAGGGGAGGGTGGAGGAGGGGATGGAGGGGTATTATAATAGCCCGTGAGGCCATTCCTACCCAGGGAGATACGTCTCGCACGTCAGGTGGCCAAAGTCAGAGCCATCACAGTCTTCCACGCCCTTGTGCTGGTGGCCATCTCCACAGTACGCCCGGTGACAGCCTGAGAGGACACAGGAAGTGCAGCCCTGAGAGGGGGCAGAGGCGGGACAGGTTTGCCAGCCTGGGCTGGGCCCGCTCACTAAGAAGGGCTTTGCTGCTAGGGCTCTGTCTGCTAAAAGTGTGGCCTAAAGGATCCACCTCAAGCAGGAGCCCTCTTGAATGGACCTCCAGGCAGCTTCAGTCTTACCCAGGTCCCACACTACAGAATAAAGGGACCCCGGCTCCAGCCCAGGCCTGCCACATGTTAGCTGAGCGTCCGAGAGCAGCCCCTTGGCTTCTTGAGACCTCACTGTCCTTACTCAAACCTGGGCCATGGATACCACCTCCCCCTCACAGGACCACTGTGGGCTTGCCCTGACTCCCTCCTCGATGGCAACTCAAGCTTCCTGCTGGGCCCCACTCACTGATGCAGTCGTCACCCACGTCATTGTTCCCGTCGTCACACTCCTCCCCGGGCTGCAGCACCCCGTCCCCACAGGAGCCGCGGTGGTCTACAGTGTAGTCCATGGGATAGAAGGGGGTCAGCTGGCCAAAGAAACACACCACAGTTACCAAGGACAGTACACCAGGCAGCTGCAGGCAGGGCAGGCCATTGGCACTGGGGTCAGAGGCTCGGGGTCTAGGGGGGCACTACTAAGGAGCAGCCCCCCACTTCCTCATGCGTGGATCAGATCAAGTCAGTGACCTGGCAGTGCAGGGATGTGGGACTGTCTGGAAGAACCTTGGCTCAGAAATAAAGGCTCTATCTGGGGAGCAGGGACATGGAGAGCTGCTCAGAGACAGAGAGTAGGAATATGCTCAGCCCTTCCATGGAAACAGACTGTGAAACGCTCTACACCAGCCTAGCTGTCGGCCTTCCCTACCTTCAGTGATGTGTGCCTTTCCTGGGTGGGGTGTGTCCTGAGCGCCCGCCTTGGGTACCTGGATGGGGAGCCAGCCAAGGCTGTCCTTGAAGTACAGAGATCTCTGGTCTTTGCGGAAGGCGATAGCATGTTTGGTGTTCAGCCTCTCAAGCTCCTCCTGGTTGTTGACCACAAAAATCTGCCAGAGAACACACTGGTGAGGCTTCCAGAAAACACTTCTGCAGAGGGCTGGGGAGTAGCTGGGGAAGAACGCAATCACTGTCCTTGGACTGGCTGACAGTGGGAACGGGGTTGCATGTTTATTCTAGCGTTCCTCCTGAAGGGGGGGGAAATGTCTCGATTCCCATATCTTTTAAATCCAGGTCCTAACAACTCTATTTGAAGTAAAAGTATCTACCATAATGGAAAATTTTTAAACATTTAAAATGTGTCCAAGACTTAAATAAGAAGGTGAGGTCATATAAGCAAGTAATTCATCATCTAGAAATGATTCTTAACAAAATTCTTACACACAAAGATGTTCATCACAGTGCTGTGTACATTAGCGAAAAGCTTGGGCACACCCATCCACCATGCGGTTGTGCTGTTATTTATTTAAACAGTGCCCTGTTGTTGGATGTTTATGCATCAATTCAAATGGTGTTTATGATGCACTGATGTCCAGTCTTTACTTCATAATGATCCAAGGGGGGGTGAGCAGTAGTGAGTTGGCATAAAGAGGAAACAAGATTGGCCATGAGTTGATAATTATTGAATTTGGGCAAAGGGTACATGGAGGTTCATTACCCTATTTGTTTTGCTTTTGAATTTATTTGAAATTTCCTATAATTTTTTTTTGTTTAAAATGACAAAGAAAATACAGTACTCCAAAATGGCTCACAACCAAATGTATAACTTGGTTTTCTTCTTTTGACTTTCCCCTTATTTTCCATTTCTTATAATGAGTGTGTGCCCAGTGTAAGTTTTACTAAACAAACACATACATACATAAAAATATGTTTTACTAGTACAAAGCCCAGGAGGACCAGGTGAGAGGTCCTGATGGGTAACACCCCAGATTTCGCCCAGAAGAACCTTACCGCAGGGACTCGCGGGGAGCTGGGCCCATACACAGATTCTCCATAAGAAGGGTTATTCACATTCATGGGGGTTCCACAGAGACATCTTCCTGGAGGCCCAGGAAATCCTCTTTCTCCTTTGGGTCCCATTATAAGTTGTCCTAGGAAATAAACAGAAAAATCTAGACCTCACATTCCAGTTGGCAGAAAAGTGCTGGAGCAAGAGGCATCCAATTAACAGGAAGAGAGGAAAGAGAAGAAAAGACAGAGACTAAAAAATGAAATAAGTACCCCTCCTCCTGGGAAAATAGGAGGGAGTCTGAATACCAAAGAATCGTTGGTTTCAGGCTATAAAACTTCAAGGCAGCCAGCAACTGGAGGCACAGTTTGCAGGTACCAGAAGGGCAAGAAATAAAATGACCCTGGGGAAAGGTCTGGTCAGGACCCCAGGGAAGCAGCTGCAGCTGGAGGGGTAGACCTCAATGAGAGGACCCTACACCCTGAGCCTTCGTGAGTAGGCTCAGGGTGCCCAGGAGCAGAATGCTGTTGGCGTGCGGGAAAGGGAGGCTTGCCACCATCTTATACCAAGTCATGGCTGTTCATTCTAACAAGAAATATGAATAAGGACATATGGGAGGAGCGCCAGCCTTGTGGAGCAGAGCCCAGAGATACAGAGAATATTCCAGGAATAGCCTAGGAATATTCTAGTAATTAAGCACACACAAATGACATCACCAATGTAATTTTTCTCTCTCCTCTATTTGTTCTCCAAAATGCAAAAAACAAAGCCAGAACAATGTTTATCTTTCCTGTGTAAAAGCTGAATGAGGCCAACTGTGGAGAAATTATAAATGTATTTAAGTTCCTCGAGCAGTTTCTAACTGAAAACACAAGGCAGGCCTCTGCTAGCATCTCCTCGTGCTCTCTCTGGGAGGCTGGCCAGGAGTGTGACGCTGTAGGTCAGGTGAAACAGTGTAGCTCTTACCTGCAGATGGGGGGCCCGGGGGGCCCGGGGGACCATGACGGCCAGGTTGACCAGAAGGCCCAGGCTTGCCTGGTGGGCCCATAACTCCACTATCTCCCTTCTGCCCCTGACAGAGAGAAAGGCAGAGCCGGTTATGAGAGCATGGCATGACAAAGCTCCTTCCCATTTATCTCTGAATCAGGGGTCACCTTGCACTTAGAGCAAGAATCCAAGGCAGGATGCAGCCCCAGAGGTCTTGGCCACCGAGCTCCAAAAACAAAACAAACTCAGGGCAAGTGACATTTGAGATAGTGATGGTGGCAAGTTTGCAGTCATTACTTTTTGCTCTGTCCTAGAAACATGCACATGACAGCTGAAACAACAACAACAACAACAACCTAAACCTCTGCCCTCAATGGGCAGATAAGGAAATAGAGGCTCAGAAAAGAGCAGGAATTAAAGCAAGTCACTTAGCATCAAGGCAGCAAAGTTGGGCCTAGAACTCAGGCCATCTGCCTGCTCATCAGGACCATTTATATTTTATCACAAGAGCTGTTGCCACTCAACGGCTACCATTGATCTCAGGATAAAGATCCCGAACATTTATCCTTGATCATAACTACACAGTTATTTTTGTGGTCATTTCATCAATGTCTCCCCATGAGACATAAGCTCCCTGTGGGTATGAATCTGTTTTGTTCACCTCCCCCCGGCCCCAGATGAAATGAGGGAGGAGGAAGATGCTGAAGACACAAAAGGGAAGTAGTTTTGTTCAGCTGGAAGTGAAAGATTTGGGTTTTCACCTTGGCCACAAGACCCTGGCTAACTCACATCATTGTTTTGTGCCTCAGTTTTCTCGTCTGTAAAATGGGGCCAGTAAATATACACCTGCGTGCATTTGTTGTAAAGCTAACAAATATCTCAGAGGTGAAAAGGGGGTTTGCACAGGACCAACGGCTATGTAGGGCAAGCTGGTTATCACAGCAACTGGTTTCGTTTCACCTTTCCCACACAGTTAGACATGTCCTGATTTCTTAAAGAGGGGCACACTTGCAGCAGCAGTCATTCCACATGGGGTGTCCTCTTTGCTGCCTGCTCTGGGAGGGCCAAGAGCAAGATTTCCCCCTCAGAGCTGCCCTTGGGAATGACTTAGAAACCAGGGCCTGCGGGTTCTTCCCCCTTCTTGCCCCGGGCTTAACCAGGACAGTGATTGATGCCTAACATCTTTGGCCTGGGTCCCCTTTCTACACTTGTGCCTTGGCAGGCTTGCCACCTAATGAAATGTAATCTTCCCCAAGTCTAGGAAGCAGGAATGCTGGGCACTCCTTTCCCCTCAGAAAGGTGACATGTAACCTGCCTCCTTGTTAACATGGCCCTGGGGGCACTCTCAGCAATGTCCAAGGAGCTCTTAAACTCTTAATGTGGGACTTGGGGATCAGAGTTTGTTTCCAATTCCATCCTGATGGAGGGAATCTTAAACCTTAGCCCAAGCAGAGGAATTCCATGGGGTAACCAAGATGTGTCCCAGAATGGCAAAGGAAGTCACACCGTCTTAATATAGCCGCAGTTAAAGCTTGTTGTTCTAACAGCCACATCAGCTGGCTATGAGGACAGGAAGTGCCACCACTTGAAGGAGCTGGAAACGCTCCTTGATTCTGGCACCAAGGGTAATGGAATATTCTGCTTATTGGTCATCTTCTCAGAACAAGCCGTGTCTCTGAGCAGGACTCACTGAGCAACACTTTCCAGGAAAAGCATTTATTCCTTTATTGCCAGAAAGTTTGGTGATACCTCTCAAGGAAGCTGTTCTGTCTCCTTAACTGAAGGTTTGTATAACGGAGTCAGGAGCTGCTTTTCTGGGCCTGTCTGAAGGCAGGTCCTGAAGCATGAAGGTGATGAGAGGAGATGTGATGTGGGGGGAAGAGCTGGTTTCAACTCTCAGTTCTAACTCCGGCACGGAAGCTGGCTTATCTTAAGAGTCTGGACAGGTCACTCCACTTCCCTGGCCCTCAGTTTCCTTGGGACTACACAAAGGGAACTGAATTGGGTGGCCACTAAAACCCTCTAGCTCTGAAATTCTAATTTCCTAAAGTCCCCTCTGGATTTCTGATTCTAGGATCCAGAAACTCTTAGGACAACTGGCCCAACAAATGCTTGGTATATAAGACCCTATGCTAGGAAATTAATTCACAATAAAAAGGAAGTACCATGGCAGGCTCTCAAGGCTAAACAACTCAAGTGTCTGCTGACTGTACAGTCACAGAGGGAGCACACTCAGGTTGTTTATGACATCTCGTAGAAAGGACGAGCTCATTCCCCTAACTTCTATGAGCTTCCAGACATGGTTCAGGTGTAGTGTTAAGATTAACTACAACTAAATCATTTGTAACTTCTTGGCTTCCACCCTCACCAGGGAAAGACAAACACTGCCCAAGTAAAGAACTAGAAGACAGAAGCCAAAAGTCTTCTCAAACTCCAGTATAGAAAATTCTGGATGGAAGTAAGCAGTAAAGGAGAAAATGATCTAAAAGAGAAAGAAAGAAAGAAAGATTTTCCCTTTTTTCTTTTTCTGAGCCTAGTTTTTAGGAAATTGGTATCTGTAACAGCATTGTTAAGGCATGGCCATGCCACCAGCCTTTGGAAAACTTTGAAAATTAAGCTGGAATATTGTGCAAAAGTTATCATGAAACCTGAATTATTTAGGTTGGAGTCTGTGTCATTGCTAAGTTCGCTTGGTAGAGATCAGGATTTGCTTCATATGTTACCATGGTTCTGAGCCCTGGCTACATATTAGAATCATGTGGAGAGCTTTACATAAACAACAATCCACGCTGAAGCCTCACACCAGGTCACTTATATCAGAGTCTGGGAAGTAAGGCCTAGGCATTGGGGACAATGAGAGGCAGACTTGGAACTACAACTATTGCCCAAAGATGTTCACTTCTCAACATCATATATAATTTGGTTAAACCTCTCTTGTCCAAGCAATCTTACTCATTTACTAAAATATGGTGTAGACATTTTAAAAAGATGTTTAAAATACTCAACGAATATCTGTAGCGATGAGTATAAATGCATATATTATGATTTTAAATGAAAAATTTAGGATACAATGACTATATATTGGGTATAAAAGAAAATTTACAAAAGAAATACTACTAAAATGGTTATATAGTTATGCCTGGGTGTTAGGTCTTTAGATGATTTTTCCCCCATTTTTCTGAATTTTCCAAGTTTCCTGTAATGATCATATATTACATTTATAATGGAGAAGGTAAAAAGAGAACTGACCACCTAAAAAGTGAAGGGGCGCATCTCTCAAGAATGTCTGCCATTTAGAGCTAAGATGAGAGTTTTCTCTAAGGCACTCAGGACAGCTCCAGAGCTTGCCAAGGCAACTGTACGTTCCTCTTTCCTTGCTCTCTCATTGCATAAAAGCCTGCTGATGGGGGGGGGGGGCAGTTCAGAACAAAAAATTTCCCTGAACCCTTAACAGTGCCAATAAAGAGGGCCACTTACAAACTGGGACCCTATTATTGAGACCTAGAAGACCCTCCAACAGCAGGGAAATATCTGGGCTGTTCTCTAAAACTGCATTTGTGTCTGGGGCAATGAGGTAAAAAGCAGGTTTTCTGGGCAAACGACCCAGTTGCTTTGGTTAAGATAGACATGTTCTACCCGGCGGGGCGTGGCTCAGCGGTTGAGGGTCGACCTTGGATCCAGGCGATCGGGGTTCCATTCCCTGTCAGGGCACATGCCCGGGTTCTGGGCTCAATCAGTGACTCTCTCATCATTGATTTTCTATATCTCTCCATCTCCTTTCCTCTCTCTGAAATCAATAAAGATATATTTTTAAAAAAAATAAAAAAAAAATAGACATGTTCTTATGAACCAAAGATCTGCTCCTGCTCCTCGCCTTGGAAGCAGTTGGAACACAGCATCCTATCCCATCTACTCAAACTACGGCTAACCTAGAGTAGCCAGGGCTCCTGAAAGCGGTGCAGCTTCTGCCCAGGGGACCCGAGGAAACTGAAGGCTGGGTATATGGAATATCTCCTATTGACCCCACCGTCCGGCCTCTCCACAGCGCCACCGCAAGGTGAGGAAGTCTGACTGCAGGGGTGTGATTAGCCCTGGGATCCTTACCTGCTTGCCTCGCTTTCCGGGTCTTCCTGTGGGACCTCGGTGTCCAGCTAACCCAGGCTCACCCTTTGGACCCATTTCACCCTGCAAAGAAAAATAGAAGCAAAAGAAAAATTAGGGCATGTGGAGAAGGAACATCTCTGCAGGTCGACCCATTCCCTGGACACGAAGGCTGTTTAAGTGATCATTCCAAATGTATTCCAAATGTGCTGCTCTGGGAGACTGGAAAAGTGATGAGCTCATGTAAAACGTAGATAGGTTTTTCATGACGAAGAAGGAACGGAAGATGGTTGCCCTGGGTTAGGACTAGATCTACGGTAAGGGTTAAGATGAGGGTTAGGATAAGGCAGATGGTTACAGTTAGGATTACACCTAGAGTAAGGCTTAGGTTGAGGGTTAAGGTTAGGGATATGGTTAGGGTTAGGATTCGACCTAGGGATAGGGTTATGTTGAGGGCTAGGGATAGAGAGATGCTTAGGGTTAGGATTAGACCTAGGGTTAGGGTTAAGTTGAGGGACAGGGTTACAGAGATGGTTAGGGTTAGTATTAGGCTTAGTGTTAGGCTTAGGTTGAGGGCTAGGGTTAACAGGATGGTTAGGGTTAGGATTAGACCTAGGGTTAGGGTTAAGTTATAGGCTAGGTTTCAGAGATGGTTAGGGTTAGGGTTAGACCTAGAGTTAGGGTTATGTTGAGAGCTAGGATTAGAGAGATGGTTAGGGTAAGGATTAGACCTAGGCTTAGGGTTATGTTGAGGGCTAGGGTTAGAGAGACGGTTCGGGTCTGGATGGGACCTAGGGTTAGGGTTATGTTGAGGGCTAGGGTTAGAGAGATGGTTCGGGTCTGGATGGGACCTAGGGTTAGG